CGGGAGCGGGCGGGCCCAGGGGACGGGGGGCCGGGGGAGGCGGGGGCGGGGCGCGCGGCCAGCGGAGGGGCGGCCAGGGACGTGACATCATCGGGGGAGGAGCGGCCGGGCTCTGGCGGCCGCGGCGGGGCGGACCCTGGCGAGCTGGTGGCCGGGGCCGGGGGTGGCTGCCTGACGGAGGCCGCGGGAGGGAACAGGCCAGACCGGGGCGGGTCCGGGAAGCCGAGGCAGGATGGATCCGGGGCGGCGTCTCGAGGGAACCGTGCCCCGGGGCACGTCGCGCCGCTCTGAGGAACCTCCACGGCCCGCCCGTCGCCGCAGGATGAAGCCCCAAGCAGCTTCGCGGCCTCATCTCCCGCCCCCCGAGTATGTGCGGTACTCTGCATGCCAGACGCTCAGTTCCTGGACTTGCTGCTCATTTTGACGCCTCCCAGCTTCCCCCTTGGTTTTCACTCTTAGGGGCTGTCCGCTCCGGGCTTCCCCCGGCAAAGTTGACCTCGGTTTAACCTCTGCCGGCCAAGGACTCACACACCTCTCTCTCTATTAGGAACCCCAGACAAACAGAGCGACTTTCTGCACCTCCATCTCCTCCTGGTCACAGGGTTGCCTGAACCAAAAGCAGTGCCTTTCAGAAACCGCTCGATTTCTGATTGCACATAGAACGCTGGGGCTCAGAGCCCAGCTTCACCTCATCCTTTTCCCCAGCCACCTCTCCGCTCAGATTCCACTCCTATTTATCAGTTCCTGGCACAGAAGACATCTGGCCCTTGGCCCCAGGGTCAGGGCATTTCTGCTCCTCTCCCTACATTCTGGCCTGGTGCTTCCTGGCCAGGCTGTGAACTGAGCCCGGAATCAGACCAGCACTTTCCTGAAGAGCAGCAGAGTAGGCTGAGCTCTCAGAGACCAACGGATTCCCGCCCTCTTGGTGGGGGTGGGGGGTCCAAGTGTGCAGTTAGTCTTTTGCCACAGTTGAGCCAGATGAAGGATCCCAGGGGGCACTTTTACCTCCTACCATCCGGAGGTTTCCCCTCCTCATCTCCCACCCTCTTTCCTGTCCCTTCTTTATGCGTCCTCCCCATAACCTGCATGCGTGCTGCCATTTCCACCTGGATTTCTCAAGGTGGCAGCGGTTACCCTAGGTGGGATCCCCAAAGGTAGGTATTGCCATAGGATGAGTTCTTATCCCAATCCCTATCTCCATCTCTTTATCTGACTCTCAGCCTTGCTCCTGTGGCCCTTGACCTTACCTGGGAGCTTGTTAGAAGTGCAGAATCTGCACTGGAACAAGATCTGATGAGATCTGTGCACATGATCTGCTTGAGAAGCTGGGCTCTAGAAAACTCCCCAAAGCTGTTCCATACTTGCCATACTTCTCTCCCCAACCTCCTTACCTAATTTCCAGCAGGGACCCTCCACTCATCTGGTAGAGGGGACACAGGGCACCTGAGCAGAAGCATGCCGGTTCTCCCAGCAGTTTGTGCTCTTCTCAGTCTCCTCCATTCTCCTCTCCTCCAGCTCCAGCGATGGATGTGAGACCTCTTTCTCATTCCATCTTCTCCCCTTCCAGAGAGTTACCCATCCCATCGCCTGTTCCATCTTGATCTCCCTTCTTTTCTCTGCTCATATCTCCCTATTCTTAAAACTCTCCTTGTCCCCACCTCCTTCTTCAGTTTCTGGTGCTCTTGTTTCTGAGAAAGTTTACAGTAGCACTCCAAGGACACCTCGGCAGCCCAGCAGGCCACTCCTGGGTCTCTCATGGTCTGGCTGTTTTCCAGCTCTGTGGTTGCTTTCTTCTGCTCTCAGATTCTGTGGCCTCTCTGGGGGCTCAGGCCCTCTGACCTCCTGCAGAATGGAGGAGGTCACTTCTCTTTCCCCTCCCACACACCTGGAGAAGCCCTAATAACCAAAGTGCAATCCCTTTCTCCCCCCTGCCCTCTACTGGGCCTGGATACTCCCCCAACCCATGTGTTTCCTCAGTCTCACAGACCATCCCTGGGGGAGATGATCTCCCCTATCTGCTTCTGTCTGTGCTGACTGGTGAGCAGACCTGGGCAGGACTTTGAGGCTGGAAAGGAGTGCCTCCCTCCAGGGAGGGTCTCTATCACCAGTAACTCTGCCCCAAGGCTTTGGTGGGGCTGCTCAGTCTTCATATGCCTTGTTTCCCACAAGCCAGCCCTTCTGTCTGTGTCTACACCATCTTCTCCTGCTGCCTACCAGGCTTGGGGCTTGGGCATCATCACAGATATCTTTCTCGCCACCTGTTTGTCAAGTCACTCTCTCTCTCTCTCTCTCTCTCTCTCTCTCTCTCTCTCTCTCTGTGTGTGTGTGTGTGTGTGTGTGTGTGTGTGTGTGTGTATTGCTGGGCATTGAACCTAGGGCTTCACACACACTAGGTAAGCACTGTACCCCTGAGCTAGTCAGGTCTTAAGGATCTCCCTTCTATGTCCTTCTCCCTGCCCCAGATCCCACAGAGAATATCTTTAACAGTGAAACTTACTTCTCCTCTGGACTCCACTCTGGCTTGGAGGAAAGAGATGCCCTGTCCTCCTACAGCCTCCTCATCTGTCCTGGTTCTCAGCTGCTCACCCCTCCAACCTCCTGCCATAGTCTTTAAAGAGTTGCTTGAATTGGACCATTTTCTGCTCAAGAACTGTTAAATGTCTCTCATAGCTCCCCAAATAGACATTTTGGGACTCAGTTTAGGGATGTCTTAGGCACATTCATGCCTGATCCACCTTATCTCATCAGCCAGCCTTCCTTCCCATCTTTGCTGGGAAGTTCCCTGCTTCCTTGATGCAGAAGAGCTCACCATTGCCCAGACTCCACTCCCACACACTCATCTCCATGCCTTTACTCTGTTGTTCCCAATGGTAGGAATGCTCTCATGAAGGTAACGGTTTTCTGCTGGGAAACAGTGGGGACTCCATGCTTCTCATGGCATTGCATCATGATTCTGGAAGGTTGTCCCAGGGTAGAGTTGCGGGATGGGTGCTCAGAATTAACAAGGAGCAGAAGGGGAAACTGACAGTGAATGAAGACTCAGTCATTAGCTGGGGTGGGCTCCCTAGTTGTGTGGGTTTCTATTCTATCCCAGACCCACGGAATAGAAAGGAACAGCCAGGATGGTGTTTGAGGATCTTTAAAGCCTGCAGCCCCAGAGAAGGGTTTCTGGGTGATGAGGATACCTCGTGGACCATGTGGGGGGCTGATGGACAAATCTTGGGTCAGTCTCTGGGGTCAGAGGTAAGTATTTCTGCTTCAGGTCCAGTTGAAAGTCTGTTTCTTCAAACTATTTTGCATTATTTATCTTAGTTACTTTGGCAGATTCCCTCTTTTCACCTGTTGCAGCTGCTTTGTAGGCAGGAATTTGGGGGATTAGCAGGGTGTGGTGACAGACAGGGGACGCTTGGCCCAAGCCTGCAGAGAATGCCACTCCCTTCTGGCTGAGGCACGTTCACCCCAAAGCTCCAGGGCAAAGCCTCTGACCTCAGCCTTCCCCTTCATGGACACTGTGCTTACATCCAAGGGAAGGGCCCTTGTCTATGCTTAGAGCTAACGATAAGCCAGAGCAAGACTTGGGCTATGCCCTTAGGGAGCTCATTGTGTGGTGGTGGTGGTGGTGGTAGGGGACTTGTAAATACTCTGTGTCACTCCAGAGTGACCTGGGCTGTTGCAGAAGCAGGAGCAGGTGTAAGACCAATGCAAAAGAATGGCCTGAGCCTGAGTGGGGAAGGGTGTCTAGGACAGAAGGATTGGCCTAGGGAAGGACTAGCAGAGCTGAAAGAGTGGATTCGCTACACACTTGCTTCAAAAAGGTAGAGGGGCTTAGGCCCTGGGCATTGTGCTGGTGCCCAACATGCCATATTGAGGACCTTGACACTTCTGTAAGTATGGGCCTTAAGACAATATATATACTTTTTTTTTTATCAAAAGAAGGACGACCCCCCCCCATGCTAGTACAAACCTTAAAAGATGTATCCAAAGTGGATTATTAAACTGAGGCCCGCTTAGCCTAGTTGTGTGTTGTGCTATAGCGCCCCCTGGAGGCCCTTAATGTGAGGCCGGCGCTTGGCTCTAATCCCTGTTAAATCCCCTGATGGCAATTAAAATGCTAAGAATAGGAAAATTAAAGCATGAGCTAATTTTGGCTACTGTATAGAAAACAAAAAAGACAAGGGCCATTCCAGAAGGTTGCCTGAAAGGTATGCTTCCGGCTCTCAACCTTCCTCTCTTTTGACTCCTGAA